TAGGCTAAGATATTAGATCTATCATAGGTTAGGGTTCAACCTTAGTTTCTTTTAGCTTTTGCTTTGAATTTAGGTTTCATTTATAGGTTTGATTTGTGGGAATTCTATTTACATAAACTTAGTTTTGTTGATGAGATTTTCCTCCATGAAAAGTATACCAAGGATATTGAGAATGCTGGCTGAGGAAGATCGAGCCATAGGAGAAGGGAGAAAGCAAAAGGAAGGAAGGAAAGAGAGGGAGGAAAAGCACTATGTTGTCCTTGTCACCGATGTCATTACAGTCATCGCTGTTGTTATCGAAAAAAGAGAAGTCAGTAATGCATGAAGAAAAGGGTGTGACCACTTGGAGATTAGATTTAGGGTTTCCTATGTTTTTAAAATGTATACATTTGATAGTGAAATGGTAGGTATTGGGTTAGTAATTAAAATTTGATTAAAATATCACTTGGAAATTAAAAATACCTCATTATCACACCTTTTGCATGTTTTTTTTTTTTTTTGTTGAACAGCAAAAATATTATTTATTAAAAAACGGAGTACAAGGGGTACCCCAATCCATTAACTTAACAATTTAAAAGTCATACAATTTCTAACCCTTCCATATGGTGTCGACCCCTGAATTAGGTGCCAGCACCACGTCCGTGTCGGATAATTGAGTACAGGCAACATAGTGTCGACACCAAATCCAGTGTGTCGGCACTATACCCGTGTCGAACTTTCTGCCTTCTGTTGCAAATCTTTATCAGACACAATACTGATCATGAAAAACAATTCAGCTATTGCCCCACTATCCCGCACATTCACTGAGCATTCCTTGACTGCCGCATAGAACCCCAAAGACCATTAGTGCTTCAGGCATACAAACTCCTTCACTCATTGATCCACCTCCATTCCGGATGACTTTCTGTTGAGATACCTGATCCTTTAGCTAAGAATAGTAGATAAGGATCACCTTAAGGCTGTCATGAATCCACCCCTATCCCCCGTCCTGCAACACTATTAGTTTCCTCCCTTTTTGTCTTTCAAACATTCCATAGGTTCCAACATCCAATTGCATAGATTAAAAGAGTACCATACTGTTCTGTTTTTGATCCATTGGAATGTCCGCAGTTGCACCAGCTCAAAAATCCTATTGACATCTTGCTCATGGTTTCTGAAAGCCCTTTCATTTCTAGCTATCCATATAGACTAGATTGTTGCACTCCAGACTGCATCCCAACCTGCCTTGATGTTTACATTTTTAAAGGAGGCTAATTGTTGTTCAAAAGATGCATATCAATTGTCAGCTCTAACAGATGAAATTCTCCACCATTGGAGACATTTGGACCACACTGCATATGCAAACTTGCAATGAAGAAATAGATGATTTATATCTTCAATACTCTCATTGCATAACATGCATGTAGCTAGATGGAGATTTGGAACAATCCCTCTCTTGTACAGATTCACCTTAGAGGGTATTCTATCTTGTATGACTTTCCAAACAAAGGCACATATTTTTGTGGGGACTAGTCTGCACCAAATTCTTTTATGCAAGTTGATCCTACTCTGTTGGTGGTTGCTAGAAAGAGCATGATATCCCGATTTAGCTGAATAAATCCCATGATCATGCCTCCACTCCCATTGGTCCTTTTGTCCCTTAATTGGTTGGATAGTCTGCAACATCCTCCACAGCTCTGCCATCGAGTGTTCCTCCCATGAGAAGTTAGGTCTCCTCCATTCTAATGACCAATTCCAGCTTCCATTGCTCCAGAAACCCATTTGAGAAATGCTCTTTGATCTGCCTAAAGAATTCAAAAAGAGTATGGGAAATTTGTTAGCTAGTGACTCGTCCCCAATCTAGACATCCTCCCAAAATTTGACAGAATTACCCTCTCCCAACTTTAGTTTAAAGCCATCTAAAAGCCAGCCAACTCTACTTGAGCACGAATAATCTAATCTACAGACATCCCTCCACCATAAGGACCCCTTCTGGTTGTCCTCTACAATCCAGTTCAACCAATTACCTCCACTACTACCATATTTCTCCCGAATAACCCTGTAAAGAAGACCTTCCTCTCCCTCCGCCAGTCTACTCCACCACTTACCTAACAACGCTAAATTAAACTTCCTAAGATCCTTCACACCTAGCCCACCTTCCAATTTACTTCTACATACATTTTCCCAACAAACCCAATTGATCTTCCTATTATTCGCTCCACCTCCCCCAAGAAAATTTCTACGTATTTTGTCGAGTAAAAGAATCAAACCTTTAGGCAGCATGTGGACAGACATCGTGAACATAGGGAGGCTAGACAGCACGAAGTTAAGGAGCGTGATCCTTCCACCAAGAGAGATATATCTATGTTTCCAGCTGGCAAGTTTCTTGTTAAAGGACTCAATCATGGGTCTCCACATGGCAATACATCTGCGTTTACCCCCAATCAGCATACCTAGGTATTTACAAGGTAATTTCCCCTGTTTGCAATTCAAAGTACAGGACATCCTAGTCATCCACTCATCCGAAACATTGATGCCCATAAGCAAACTTTTTCCAAAGTTAATCTTAAGCCCATAAACCATCTCAAAAATCCTCATAATACTTTTAACAGCCCAAATATTTTCTTCCGAAGCATTACCAAACACAATTGTGTCGTCAGCAAACTGGAGATGGGTTACATTCATGCCACACTGCCCAATTTCAATCCCATTAAACAACCCCAATGACGCAGCTGATGAGATGATGCCATTAAGACCTTCAGCCACAATAAAAAATAAGAAAGGGGAGAGAGGATCACCTTGTCTGAGCCCTCTTTGCATCTTAAACTGCCTGGTGGTGCTGCCATTTAGTAGTACTAAGACTTCTGCTGTCTTCAAACATTCATTAATCCAGTTTTTCCATTTTTGACCAAACCCCAATCTAAGCATCATATAATCCAGGAATTCCCAGCAAACTTTGTCATAAGCTTTTTCAAAGTCAGCTTTAAATACAAACCCTTTCTTCTTTCTTTTCTGGGCTTCATCAATAATCTCATTTGCGATGACCACACTGTCAACTAATTGCCTTCCACCAACAAAACCCATCTGATTCTCCCCAATAATCCCATTCAAAACAGAAGACAACCTACGTGCTAACAATTTTGCAATAAGTTTGTACATGACACCAACTAGGGAGATTGGTCTGAATTCTTCTATTTTTTGTGGGCTATTGACTTTCGGATAAATACAATGAAGGAGTTGTTCATCCCTCTAACCAGTTTGCCATGCTTGTGAAAATCAGATACATATCCCATTAGGTCTTCCTTAAGTGTTCCCCACATCTCCTTGACAAATTTGAAGTTGAATCCATCAGCTCCTGGTGCTTTCGTGCTCTCACAACTCCACACAGCTTGTCTAACTTCCTCCTCACTAAACGGTGCTTCCAACATCGCCCTCTCCTCATCTGAGATCTTCTTGAATTCAATCCCATCTAAGACTGGACGTTGCCACACATCTTTTTTAAACAGTGTCTCAAAATAGTTAGCCACACCATCTTTCATACTGTTGACTTCTTCAAGTCGTTGATTCCCCACCAGGATACTTGATATATCATTCTTTCTTCTTCTTCCTTTCACACATCTATGAAAAAATTTTGTATTGGCATCCCCCTCACTTATCCATGTCTTTCTAGCTTTTTGGCGCCACATACTTTCCTTCATCCTTTGATTTTTCCATAGCTCCAAGAAATTTGTCCTTCTAGCCTCAATATCTTCTGGCAACAGTGGCATCTCCTCACTTTTTTTATCAATAGCGGCAATAGAATCAATGCTCTTTTGTATGCCCAAGTCAATCTCAGAGATCATATTCTTGCTCCACACTTTCAGCACCTTCTTAGTTTCCTTCAATTTCTCCTTCAGACGATACCCATTCCATCCATTTACTTCTGTAGACTTCCAGGTATCAGTGACTATGCCTTTAAACTGGGGTAGTTCCAGCCATGCATCAAAGAACCGAAATGGTTTTGGGCCCCAGTCTGTAATTTGGTTTTTGAGTATAATTGGGTAGTGATCAGAGAGTGAACGGTTTAAGCCCCATTGTTCGACATTCTCCCAATTCAAACACCATTCTTCTGAGAGCAGAAATCTATCTAGCCTACTCATCGAGGCTCCATTAGATTGATACCATGTGAATTTTCTGCCAATTAATGGTAAATCAACAAGGCCACACTCATTAATAAATTCGTCAAACTCTGGCATTTCTCTCCTTATACTCATCCCACCCTTCCTTTCCTGTTCATTTCTTACTGCATTGAAATCCCCCATTAGACACCAGTTCCCACCGATTTCAGAAATAAGGTTTTTGAGAGAAGCCCATAATGCTCTTTTACTAGGAAGGTCACAAGGGGAATAAATGTGGATGATATAAACAGGGGTTCTAGCTGCCCCCCAAAATCCAAAAACCCCAATAAAATTATCCCCTTCAATAATCCTATCTTTCTTCAATAATTCAGAATTCCAAACACATATCAAGCCTCCAGCCGTACCTTTTGAGGGTTGAGCAACCCATTCAAAGTCCTTCGATCCCCAAAGAGCTCTACAGAGTTGATGATCCACCACCTCTGTTTTTGATTCTTGTATTGATAAGAACTCCACCTTTTCCCGAACCACTAGTTCTCTAACCCCTTTTCTCTTCCCTTGACCACCCACACCTCTTATATTAATTGACAAAAAGATCATTTTAAAACACCACAATTGTTTCCCCTAGTATCGGCCTCACTAGCCTTTGATCTTCTATAATTTTCTCTGTCACGTTCCTCCAAGGTCTCGAGCCTTTGCATAATTTCTTCCTCATTTTCGCGATCCACAACCCCAATTTCTCTGGCAAACCCCCAGATCTTCATTTCCTTGTTGATTTTACCCTCCATCTGCAAGCACTTGTTTCTGTTTTCAATGCCACTATCTGCTATTGAGTCACCCGCTACCTGATTTTGTGAGCCTGGATAGAACAACGGCATCTTCTCCTCTAAATCTCGGTGTTTTTTTAGTCTACTCTGCATCTCCTCTGTCCTTGGCTGAACCACTATTTTGGAATTTTTATACACAGATGAACATGTCCTCGTTCTCTTCTTCTTATGTTTCTTAAGTTTCCTCTCTTTTCTACCCATCCAAGCTTTCAATTGCCCCGATTCACTTTCAAATCCCTGCCAAAAGGAATTTTCTTCACTGAGATCTTCTAACCGGCTCAAACTACCATTGCTTCTCTGATTCACGTCACCCACCTCATCCTCCTCGGACATCAACCTGCCCTTTCTTCTCCGATTCGCCTCACCTTCCACCTGCATCAATCTGCCCTTGCTTGTCCGATTCGCCTCATCCTCCTCAGGTCTCAAGCTCCCCCTGCTTCTCTGATTCGCCTCATCCTCCTCATTTATCAAGCTAACCCAATTTCTCCGAATCGCCTCATCCTCCACATGCACCAAGCTGCCCCTGCATGTCCGCTTCGCCTCATCTTCCTCGGGTATCAAGCTGCCCCTACTTCTCCTATTCACCTCATCCTCCTCGAGCTTATCTTTCTCTGTTTCACTTATCTCCACATCAACATCAGCTTCATATGATTTATTACCTTTATTGGGCCCCATATAGGAGGCCCAATCCTCATCATCTCTCAAACATGCTTGAGGATCCAACCGGCAGCCCTTAACCCACTTCTCCTCTTTGGACCGGTTCGGATAATTTGGCCCAATCACCTTACCATTTTCACAATTTGAA